AGTAACAATAATGATATGAATTAAAAATAATTATAAAATAATAGTAATAATGAAGATTATAAAATAATATCTTTTGCAGTGTTATGCTAAAAAGTAAAATAATGATAAGGAATTAAAAATAATTATAAAATAATAGTAATAATGAAGAGTTATGCTGTAACAATTTGATAGTGTTAAAAATGCTATAAAAAAAGTAATGAAGAAATGATATGTTATGCTAAAAAGTAACAAAATGATATGAATTAAAAATAATTATAAAATAATAGTAATAAAAAGTAATTATAAAATAATAGAATTAAAAATAATAATAGTAATAATGAAAGTGTATCTTTGCAGTGTTATCTAAAAAGTAACTTTGCAGTGTTAGTGTTGCTAAAAAGTAACAATAATGAGTGAATTAAAAAATATAAATAATAGTAATAATTAAAAAATATGAATTAAAAATAATTATAAAATAATAGTAATAATGAAGAGTGTATCTTTGCAGTGTTATGCTAAAAAGTAACAATAATGATATGAATTAAAAAATAATTATAAAATAATAGTAATAATGAAGAGTGTATCTTTGCAGTGTAATAATGATATGAATTAAAAATAATTATAAAATAATAGTAATAATGTGTATCTTTATGTTATTTAACAATAATGATATGAATTAAAAAATAATTATAAAATAATAGTAATATGTATCTTTGCAAAAGTAACAATAATGATATGAATTAAAAACAATAAAATAATAGTAATAATGAAATGTAAAAATAATTATAAAATAATGATATGAATTAAAAATAATTATAAAATAATAATAAGTGTATCTTTGCAGTGTTATGTAAAAATAACTTTAATAATGAAGAGTGTATCTTTTAAAAAAAAAAAATAATGAACAATTAAAAATAATTATAAAATAATAGTAATAAATTGCAGTGTTATGCTAAAAAGTAACAATAATGAAATAGTGTATCTTTGCAGTGTTATGCTAAAATAAAATAATGATATGAATTAAAAATAATTATAAAATAATAGTAATAATGAAAGTGTATCTTTGCAGTGTTATGCTAAAAAGTAATAATAATGATGAATTAAAAAATAATTATAAAATAATAGTAATAATGAAGAGTGTTTGCAGTGTTATGCTTTAAAAGTAACAATAATGATAGGAATTAAAAAAATTATAAAATAATAATGATATCTTTGAATTAAAAAATAATTATGAATTAAAAATAAATAAAATAATGAAGAGTGTATCTTTGCAGTTTGCTAAAAAGTAACAATAATGATATGAATTAAAAAATAATTATAAAATAATAGTAATTATCTTTGCAGTGTTATGCTAAAAAAGTAACAAAAGATATGAATTAAAAAAGTAATTATAAAATAATAATAACAATAATAATGATATGAATTAAAAAGTAATTATAAAATAATAGTAATAAAAGTGTATCTTTGCAGTGTTATGCTAAAAATAACAATAAATGAATTAAAAAATATTAAAATAATAGTAATAATGAAAGTATATCTTTGCAGTGTTATGCTAAAAGTAACAATAATGATATGAATTAAAAATAATTATAAAATAATAGTAATAATGAAGAGTGTATCTTTGCAGTGTTATGCTAAAAAAAGTAACAATAATGATATAAAAATAAAAATAATAATTATAAAAAAAGTGCTAAAATAATAGTAATAATGAAGAGTGTATCTTTGCAGTGTTATGCTAAAAGTAACAATAATGATATGAATTAAAAAAATAATTATAAAATAATAGTAATAATGAAAATGTATCTTTGCAGTGTTATGCTAAAAAAGTAATAATAATGATATGAATTAAAAATAATTATAAAATAATAGTAATAAAAAGTGTATCTTTGCAGTGTTATGCTAAAAAGTAACAATAATGATATGAATTAAAAAATAATTATAAAATAATAGTAATAATGAAGAAGCGTTATGTAAAAATCAGTGTATCTTTCAGTTATTAAAAAAGTAACAATAATGATATGAATTAAAAAATAATTATAAAATAATAGTAATAATGAAGAGTGTATCTTTTGCAGTGTTAAAAAGTAATAATATGATATGAAATAAAAATAATAAAAATAATAATAATAATGAAGAGTGTATCTTTGCAGTGTTATGCTAAAAAGTAACAATAATGCTGAATTAAAAAGTAATTATAAAATAATAGTAAAATGAAATAGATGTTATGCTAAAATAACAATAATGATATGAATTAAAAAGTAATTATAAAATAATGTAATTGTATCTTTGCAGTGTTATGCTAAAAAGTAACAATAATGATATGAATTAAAAAGTAATTATAAAATAATAGTAATAATGAAAATCTTTGCAGTGTTATGCTAAAAAAACAATAAATATGAATTAAAAAATAATTATAAAATAATAGTAATAATGTATCTTTGCAGTGTTATGCTAAAAGTAACAATAATGATATGAATAAAAAAAATAATTATAAAATAAATAATGAAGAGTGTATCTTTGCAGTGTTATGCTAAAAAGTAACAATAATGATATGAATTAAAAAGTAATTATAAAATAATAGTAATAATGAAGAGTGTATCTTTGCAGTGTTATGCTAAAAAGTAACAATAATGATATGAATTAAAAAATAATTATAAAATAATAGTAATAATGAAGCGTGTATCAACTCAGATTGCTATGCTAAAAATTAAGAAAAATAATAATAATAATAATAAAGGAGAATGCTGTGATAAAATGTAAAAATAAATAGATGCAGCAAAATTCATAACTAATAATTGTTTGTAACCAAGTAAATGGTTAAAAAATAACAAAACAAAAGGTTGCCGAGAAATCGTGTATTGAACAGTAATACTATAAAATAGTATTACACGACTTGGGAGTTTGTGTCAGTTGACCAACGTTCACTCTATACTACTGTTAATATTTAACAGCCCTCCCCACCCACGGGGGATATATGTGGCACAAGGCCGAGTTTATCGTGGATCATCCGAGCCCGTAGCATCGACCAAAAAATCCCCGTCGAACCCATATAAATGGGTTCGGGTGTGTCCACCTTCCCGAACGAAACTCTGTCCTTCGGCACTGCCTCATCCGGGTTTCTCTCTGCTCAAAAGCAGGGAATTCGACAGCAGCTCCGAACTGTCAGAGCCTCGGTAGAACAATCTATACTACTGTTATATTTAACAGTACCCCCTACAAGGAATGTATGTGGCACAAGGCCGAGTTTAACGTGGGTTGCTCCGAGTCCGTAGGCTCGGCCAAAAATATTCCCTTTGAACCCGCCTAAACGGGTTCAGGGACTGTCTACCTCCCCGAATGAAACTTTGCCCTGCGGCAAAGCCTCGTCCGGGTTCCTCTCTGCCGAGGCAGAGAATTTGACAGTTGAAGAATCTATGCGACTGTTCCCCCGAGGCTTACTTTCCTACTAATTTTATAGTAGGTGGAAGAGTCTACAATAGACTTATTAGAGGGAGGACACCGCAACAATAATAATGATAATGCTTTGTTATTATTTGCCTTTGTATTCGTCCTTGTATACTGAATGGTTACAATTCTGTAATCCACTTAATTATTGAGTCATTCGTGACCAATATAGTTAAAAGGATAATTCAGCAAAGACGGAATTTCAAGTTTTGTCACGATGAAATGAAGCAATAATAAAATAGAATAAACTTCATAATGAAATAACAATCCTAAAAAAATGTATGGGAGCGTAACGTACATTAGCAAGAAAAATAGAATCGTCGAACCGAGTTCAAGTTCCCATCTAGTCTATTGTATTCACTTTTGCACAAATACGCATGTCTCCTTACACTAGCTATGGGTTAAATAGCAAAGTAGAGTGAAATTGTTAGCCTCGAGTGGCAGCCAGTCTAGGAGAAGAAAAGCTCTGAATTCAAAGCCGTAGAGAAGGCAACGGAAAGCTATTTCATTGTCTTTCCAAAGACGTTATGGTAATTCACAAACAATAATGAAACGGAGGCTGTGGAGAGGCATGATCGTCTCCGCCCTGGGGAGACAGAGCGTTTAAAATATGTTTAAATATTTTAAATTCAAGTTTTACTATTTTAAGAGAAACATTTTTGTCATCAACCGAAATATGATTTTAACAAGCACAGAATCAATTAACTAAACACCCAACCTCCAGTCCAATACTCTAAGGCTACAATCATATTTTGTCTTTTCGTTTTAATGATGTTATTATAAGGAGAATAGCAGCCTACTGTCTGCTATTAGCGTTTTTTTTCCTATCTTTTCCTCTTTTAAAAGAAAAACCGATTTGTATTCCCGTGAGCAGAATCTCTTTACAAAGCAATCAGCAAAACAAGACAAAAAAAAAGATCGTGAATAGAATTTTTTAATGAAATCAAATAACAAAAAAAAAAAAAAGAAAAGATTCCCGCCCAGTTTTAGTGTATAACAAATATGGCCGTGCGCAAGATACCAGTTCTGTAAGTGAAAGTCGAATGATTGAGAGAGAATGCATAGTTGGAGAAGAATCATCATTCGTTCAGCGTTGTCGACAAGGGGGCGAGGTTGCCCGATAGGTCGCTGAAGCTCCTCCCAACCGCCATTCGTGTTAAGCCCCCATCCATCTTCGCGTTACATCGACACAGTTGACACCCGCTCGTATTCGACTGACAAATACAATTTTGTTCGACCGCGACTTGGACGTCGTTAGCTCCCCTTTTATGACCGGTGATAAATGCGCCACTAGGCGGCGCTACTGAAGATTGCGCCGATAACAAGACAAGAGAGTGAGTAAAAGGAAGTGAAAAAAAAAACTGTATTTACTTTTGCTGTTCGTTCTACCAATTTTTTTTTTTATTGTTTTTCGTTTTTGGGGCGAAAATCGAATGAAGAAATATTGAGATAATTTGTGTCAGTGTAATATGGATAGAGAAAAACATTTTATTGTTTGCAAGGGTTTTATGATTGATCCCATGCATAGGGGGGGGCGGTAAATTGAGGCGACTATTTTATACTGCGACGCCAACTAGTTTTTCTTCGCTTTCTTCTCATATCCCGATAGCCTCACTCTCGCTCTTCCTTTCTATCTGTCTCCCTCCCTTTTTCCTCCTCTCTCTCTTCTCTCCTCTCTCCCATCTCTCTCTCTCTCCCATCTCTCTCTCTCTCTCTCCCATCTCTTTCCCATCTCTCTCTCTCTCCCCTCTCTCTCTCTCTCTCTCCCATCTCTTTCTCTCTCTCTCTCTCTCTCTCTCTCTCTCTCTCTCTCTCTCTATTTCCGGTTTCTCTGTCTCTTTCTTTCTTTCTTTCTCAGACATGTCATCTTTCTTTTGTTATCCTTTTTCATTTTAATCTCTTTCTTTCTCTCTCTTCTCTGGATGGAGTAAAATTAATAAAACTTAATTTCTCTCTCTCACTCTCTCACACTCTCTCTCCCCTCTCTCTCTCTCTCTCTCTTTCCCAAAGACACACACATGCCCACACCTTTACACTTTACTTATTTTTCCTCTTGCACTTACTCACTCTCTAATCCTTTAATACTTCTCTCACTCCTTCTCTCTTTCTCTCTTTCCATATCGCATTCTCTCTCATTCTTTCTACCCTTTTCTCTTTCCACATCTCCTTCTCTCTCATTCTTTCTATGTTTTCTCTTTTCACTCTTTAACGCATTCCTGTCTTTCCTCTTTCCGTTCTATTTTTCTTTCCTCGTTTCCTTCTATTTTCCACTCCTTTAATTCCATCTCTTCTTCTCCATTCCTTCTTGTTTTAATTCTCTTTCTTTCTCGATCACTCACCGAGAGAAAAGCGGAAAAAAAGGTATTTTTTCTCTCACGTTTCTCCTTTTTGCCCTTTCTCGTCTGCTCTTTCTCATTTCAGTTTCTTTATTTCTTTTCCACCATTATTGCTATTCCTTCTTCTTCTTCTTCTTCTTCTTCTTCTTCTTCTTCTTCTTCTATGGATTCTTTTCTTCTTTTTCTTTCTTTTTATACGTCTTTCTTTTCCCTTTCTTTCTCTATATTTCTGTTCCTTTCTATCCATCCGTCTTTTTTCTATCATCTTAATCACCTGCCCTTCATTTTTTTTTCTGTTTAAATATCATTTCTTTTCTTTCTTTCTTTCTTTCTTTCTTTCTTTCTTTCTTTCTTTCTTTCTTCTAATATTTCTTTCTTTTTTTCTATTTAGACATCTTTCTTTTCATAATTTCTCTCTCTCTCTCTCTCTCTCTCTCTCTCTCTCTCTGCTTGCTTTTCCTCCAGTTGTTGGTGCATTATAATCTTTACATTTATGCTACCCTTTTTTTTTTCTTGAAACTCTTTTTTTTTTCATTCCTGATTCCAATTAGACATTTCCATCCGTCTACACAGACATTCGTCCTTTTCTTTTTTCCGTCTTTGGTCAATGAGTCCATCTTTCTTTCCCATTTCTCGTCTTCTCCCTCTTTCATCTTTATCTATCACGTATCACGCCTCTCTTTTTCGCTTTCTTATTTTCTTGCCCTTTCTTATTCTTGTGTCTTTTTCTCATTTGTATGACATTTGCCTTTCTTTCTCTCTCTCTCTCTCTCTCTCTCTCTCTCTCTCTCTCTCTCTCTTCCCTTTCTTTCTTGAGTAATACTTGCCTTCTTTCTTACACGTCCTTTTTTCTTGAGTAAAATTTACATCCTTTCTATATTTACCTTTTTATCTTTTTCTTTTCTTTCTTGCATTCTTTCTTTTCCCCAAATCGCCTTCCTTTCTTCATTCCTTCATCTCTACCTCCCTCCCTCTCTTCCTCCCTCTTTCTCTCTGCCTTTCTCACTCTGTGCGCGTATGCGAGTGTGTGTGGGTGTGTCTCATGACTTCCCATGTCTCTGTCATCATTACTTTCTCTACAGTATCCTCCTATTCTCCCCTCTCTACCTAAAGATCTCTAAAGCCATTTTTATAATTTCTTTATATATTTCTTTCCACTTTCCTATCTTTCCCCCCCCCTTTCTTTCAGTCTGACTCTTTAATAGAAATGATTTGTGAACTGCTAGCCTCACCAGCTGTCAGCTTTATACGGCCGATATCTGTTCGCTGAAGCTACGCGCAAATGATCTTCGCCTGAGGTTTTGTAGAAAAATGACAGCGTCTTTGCCACTTTTTGCAGATCGTCAGGCCTCCATTCCATCAGCGAACAACAAAAAAAAGGAAATGGTGGAGAAGGCGATTGATTACTGAATGGGCAGAAACAAACTCCACGAAAAAAGGGGGAAAATACCTTTTCTTTCGTGTATGCGCTTTCAACAAGGTTTTTAACACGATCTAAAAAAAACAGATATGAATAGATTTTAGACTGATAGGAAGACATAAATGGGTACAGCATGGGATAGATCTATAAATAGATAAAGAATAAACTTAGTTAATAAGAACGGATTGAAATAGATAGATAGATAGATAGATAGATAGATAGATAGATAGATAGATAGATAGATAGATAGATAGTCATTCACAAATACATGCCCTACTTCGGGGTAGCTAGATATTTAGATACGAAAGGATTGTCAAATAGATATGAATATACTCTGAAACAGATAGATAGATAGATAGATAGATAGATAGATAGATAGATAGATAGATAGATAGATAGATAGATACGCATTCACAAATACGTCCTACTTCGAGCTAGCTAGATATTTAGATACGAACGGATCAAGTAGATATCAATATACTGTGAACGAGATAGATAGATAGATAGATAGATAGATAGATAGATAGATGACGTCTTTTTGTAATATTCCTATGTGAAGTGTCAGTGTAGCTTGTGATGGCGTCTTTAACCTCGTTTATTTTACTTTACTCTACGCGCATGCGCGCTTATGCGCATATGAGAGAGCTATAAAAACGCGTGCGTTTGCGCGCGATAGATGGAGAGAAAGTATGCACCTGATAATGTTTATACACCCGCGTGTGAGAGAGAGAGAGAGAGAGAGAGAGAGAAAGAAACAGAAATATATAGAGAGAAAAAAAACAAAGACGTATAAGAAGAAAGAAAAAGAAGAAAAGAATCCATAGAAGAAGAAGAAGAAGAAGAAGAAGAAGAAGCGAATCAATGTGTGTGTGGTGTGGATTTGTATGCATGAATTATTTCTTTGAATATTTTCATTATAAATTAATCCCATATTGCAATAAACAAAAATCACAGCACTTAGCCGCTTATACTGCATTCTAATCCCCCATCATCATTATTTATGATACTGTGCCCTTTCAGGATTTGGGCAGTCATGGCTCTCAACAACTTATTCTCCCGTGTAGAGTTAAGCAACCTTTGACTACTTGTCCTTCTCTGTCATCCGTTCGTACAAATATATTAGATAAGTACCTTGCTATTTCCTTTTAGTTCTCCTTCCCTCAGTACGTCCTGTTCGTATTAAATTTTCCAAGCCGTCCTTCCTCATTATGCGTCCTAGAAATTTCTGCTCTCTCTCATTTTAAATAGGAGCGCCTTTCTTGTTCTCTTTTTCTTTGCCACGTCCTCGTTGCTTTCGCGTTCTTTCCATGGTATGTTCACCTTTCGTCTGTATAATCACATCTCCATTTGTCTTAAGTTTTCTCGTTATCTGTCAGTTTATCCCATAAGTTCTGTCCGAATTTTGAATAAAGAAAACAAGTGACCAAATTTTACATTTAATTACAGATTCAATCAAATTTTCCCTGATTATCTATGACTTCCTTCCATCTATTAACAAGTTTACTAATTCCATTACTGTAAAATTCTTTTGGCTTTGATCAGTTTTAACCTCTTCCTGTGTTACAAAAGCTGTTTCTTACAAATGATTCTGTAGACTACGAAACAAATGGTAGTCTGAAGGAGCAAGATCGAGAGAATAAGGTGGATGAGGAATTTTCTCCCAATCAAGTTCTTCGATCTTTTGTGACGTGATTCTTGCTGTGTGGGATCGCGCATTGTCCTGATGAAACATCACCTCTTTTCGATTCACTAGAGCAGGTCTTTTTTCTTCAAAGCTTGGTTCAAACGCTCTAATTGCTGACAGTATATTTGAGCATTAATTGTTGCATTAGGTGGTAAGAATTCAAAGTGGATTATTCCTTGGCGATCCCACCAGATTGAAAGAAGAACCTTTTGCCCATGAAGCTCCCTTCTCGGCTGTGGCTGGGGTCCTTCCCCTTTACCAAGCCACTGTCTACGACGCTTAATATTTCGATAAAAGATCCATTTTTCGTCACCTGTTACAAGTCTATCCAAAAAAAGGTGAAACACGTTGGCTAGAATGGAGAGAAGAGCAGATGTCAACACGGAATTTGAGGTTGTTTTCAGACAATTCATGAGGCACCCATTTTCCAAGTTTAGGAACTTTCCAAGTTGTTGAAGATGACGATGAACAGTTGTATGGTATGAACTGAGAACCACTGTCAATTCCTCAACTGATAAAGCAGGATTTTCTTCAAGGGCTGCTTCAAGAAGCTTTTCATCAAACTCAACTGGACGTCCGGTTCGATCTTCATCTTCAAGGGTGAAATCTCCACCTCTGAATTTTGCAAACCATCTTCTACAAGTTCTTTCATTCACACATTCCTCTCCATAAACTGAGTGAATGTTTCTAGCCGCTTCGGCTGCTGAGTTTCCTTTCTTGAACTCATAAAGCATTATGTGCCTCAAATGATTCTTGGGTACTTCCATGTTAGCAGGATTTTAATCAAACTAAATTTAATTTTATTGTTCTCTGAATTAATGTACCTTCCCTGTGCCTTTTCTATAAATACTGTATTTGTAAATGTTCTGATGAACTTTCCTCTGTGGAAACTAGACTCAATGAATTTAAGCACCTTACCAGATTGGTGGCAACTTCTCATCATTTTACAGTTGGATTGGCTAGATGAAACTGGAAGTTCTATGCTAATAGTTTATTTTCTCGCACTTCTCGCTTGTTGAACTTGCTTTTGGAGTCATGTATGAGATTAAGGTGTACGGGACAAAACTGCAGATAAGCGATTCCGAAAAATATTTTTTCGGACGTTAAGAGACGGAGGCGCTAGGATGTGAGGTTCCAAGGGGAGAGAACTGAGGATAAGGCTGTCTAGTCATGCTTTTTTTATCATGTGAAACCATAAATAAGTTCTGTTCTTGTTTATCAACCGTATTCTTCAGAAAAAGTAAAATGCAATCACACTTTATTCAATTATATATGCACCCTCATTTGCAATGATTTATCACCACTTAGCAGGCATCTCTTCGATATCTCTTCAGTAAAATTCCGAAGGTTTTGATGTGGAAAAAGTTTTCAGCGTATTCTTTCACTTGGTTTTCATTATAAAAGGTTTTCAATAAATAAGGTTTTCATTTGTGATGGTTTTCATTAGAAAAGGTTTTTATTTGTGAAGGTTTTCATTAGAAAAGTTTTTCATTTATGAAGGTTTTCATTAGAAGTTTTCATTCGATAAGGTTTTCATTAGAGAAGGTTTTCATTTGAGAAGGTTTTCATTTGAGGTTTTCCTTAGAGAAGTTTTTCATTTGTGAAGGTTTTCATTAGAAAAGGTTTTCATTTATGAAGGTTTTCATTAGAAGTTTTCATTAGATAACGTTTTTATCAAAGGAGGTTTTCATTAGAGGTTTTCATTTGTGAAGATTTTCATTAGAGAAGTTTTTCATTTGTGAAGGTTTTCATTAGATAAGTTTTTCGTTAAAGTAGGTTTTCATTAGATAAGGTTTTTATTTGTGAAGATTTTCATGAGAGGGGTTTTCATTTTTGAAGGTTTTCATTAGATAATGTTTTCATTTGTGAAGGTTTTCACGAGAGAAAGTTTTCATTACAAAAGAGTTTCATTAGATAAGGTTTCCATTGGATAAGGTTTTCATTTTTGAAGGTTTTCATTAGAGAAGGTTTTCATTTGTGAAGATTTTCATTTGGGAAGTTTTTCATTAGGGAAGTTTTTCATTAGATAAGGTTTTCTTTGAGAAGGTTTTCATTTGAGAAAGTTTTTATTAAATAAGGTTTTCATTTGTGATGGTTTTCGTTAGAGAAGGTTTTCATTTGAGAAAATTTTTATTAGATAAGCTTTTCATTAACGAAGGTTTTCATTCAAATAGGTTTTCATTTGTGAAGGTTTTCATTTGAGAAGATTTTCATTAAAGAATGTTTTCATTCGAATAGGTTTGTATTTGTGAAGGTTTTCATTTGTGAAGGTTTTCATTAGAGAAGATTTTCATTAGATAAGTTTTTCCCCATGAAAGCTTTTTGCTACTTTCTTACATTGTAATAGTCAGTTGGATCAATCTCAGGTGAATATGGCAGGTGGGGTAGAACATGCCAACCTATTTCCAAAATATTTCCTGTTATTCATGTTTATGCGGCCTTGTGTTGTCATAGAGGAGAACACCATTTTTCGTTTCACCCACTGTGTATGCTGCCACTTCATTGTAAAAACTAAGGTATATTAGTGTACACGAAACTTATGAACTTCCGCGTATAATTAATAGTTAGGATGATACCCTCGTTATTTCAATTGGTTCCCCAAAACTGAAAATGCTTTTGACGCAACATAGTAATATTAAATGACTGAACCATTTCCGGAGAAATCATTTCTAAAGTGATTTCTAAAGTTTTAGCCATTATGTCAATGTCCTTTTGTTTTCAATTTCAGGTTCTGATGTCATGTGGAGCGACCCGAATGCCGCCAGTTCCCCCGTCGATGTTGTACAAACATCCTGAGGCCAGTTGCCGTGTATGGGAGCGCTACAATATTAATTAATAAACAAATGTTTTGTTTTTTTTTAAGAAACGGCCTACATTCTGCTATTTTTATGAAATGAACTTTAGGTGATACGAGTATTCTCTATTATAACAAGTGTACCAAACTCCACTTGTGAACTGTGATATCGAAAGGACGATTCAACCACATCACGAAAAATAATTCCAAATCACCAAATACCTTTACAAAAAAAGTTGTCCACTAAAAAAAAACATTGTTCATGTTTTGTTTTTGCTATCTTTTGGGGGTACAAC